TATTTCGCAGCTTTCTCCCTTGAGAAAGTACTTTTGCTTGAAAATAAGGTCATATTCGAAATCAGCGTGAAAAACTGCATTGAATGGTGTATAACTCATCTAGTTTCGGTCGCTTGATTTTGAATTCTAGAAATTTCTTAGTTCTTGAGATTCACACAAACAATTTCGTGCTGAAAATTTGAATTTCAAGATAAAGTAACCTGAACGACTCGAAACATGTTTCTTATAGGTTTTCGACAATGCTCTTTCCAGTGGCATTATTTTTAAATATTGAGAAAGTTTTCTGAAGGGTTTTCCAGAGACCGGATCTCTGAAAAGCTCCGTAGAAAACTTTTTCAAAGCCCAACTCTCATGCCATTAGAAAGAGGATCATGAAAAACTTATAAAAAGTGGTTCATGAAATTTTAGTTCACTCATAAAGCTAAAGTCCGCCTCCTCTAGCAAGAAATGCCCACTGTGCTGTACATGCACGAACACAGACACGTCTCATACATTTTCAGGTATTCAAGTCGAATGGCCGCTAATTAACGAGGAGGCTGACAGAAAATCTCTACAAAACCAGCAATAACGTGAACCGTAGAGAAACAATTTTTGCCTTCGACGATGACGAAAAATGTTGACAAAATCGGTCATAACGGCCAACTTATTTATAAATAAGTTCGAGCTGAACTCAGTTTTTCGGTTTTCAGATTTCAGTCGAAGAAACATTTTGTTTAGGTGAATTAGACAGAAAGTTCAACGTCGCGTCCGGCTAATATAAATTCCAAATATCAATATCATTTATACTTGTAGTAATCTGTTTTATATAGAAATTTTTCGAAAAATGAAGAGCAAAGAAAAGAGGAAAATAAACGAACTTGTATTATCGCCACATACGAAAACGAGAGATATGCACAACAACTCAGCAGCAATAAAGAAACGAAAATTTTCAGTTTTTCAAATAAATGTTTTATGAAGATCCAAGAAAATGAAGAACAAATGATACCAACAACAAATAAACAACAAAACCTTAAAAACACAAACAGATGAAAAATAAAAAAACAAAACATACAAATAATTTATTAGTACTCTAAAAAAATGTTTGTAAGAAAATAGTCTATGTAATAGTAGTAATGCAATTGAGAGAAAACAAAAGTAAGGAGAGACCCGTACAGAAAAAGAAATCTTAAGCCGTTGTTATAATTCCATTATTAGTTCTTGATGATTCGTGCAAATTGTAATTTAATATTGCATGATAATACGTTTGAGATGAACTGTGGTCACTTGAAGAAGACGATGGACTATAAGAACACGATGTAGTTGTTACTTGTGGATAAAAAGAAATATTATTATTTGCTATCAGTGAATTAGTATTATCACAATCTGTTATTGTAATACAAGAGAAAGAAGACGATGACGATAGTTCAGGATTAGTCAAATTTGATGTATTTACTAGTGAGGAAAATGTTTCATTATTATTCATATCAAGTTCATTCGTGTTCGACGGTAGTAGAATGGTACATAAATCAGATGATTGCAAAGTATTATTAGTAGTAAATGCACAAGAAGAATCATCATCAAGTATTGTTCTAGTCGTTTCATTACAACAACAATCGGACGAATTTATTGTCGTAGAAATTGTTGTTTGAGAAGAAGAGTTCGTATTTGGTAATGAATCGTTGTTTGTTTGCGGAGAATGACAAAATGTATAAGCTGATAGCGTATTTCCACTAATATCAATGTATTCACCACCACCATGTGGTGCAATTAATTCATCTTCAGAGACAATTGAAGCTGGTATAGCAAAATTTGATTGTTGTAACGAGTCTAATGTTGTCCAAAATGTATCGGTATTATAATGTGATGTTGTACAAGATGTTGATGATACACCGGTATTGTCAGTTAATTCACAATTACTGTTTGTATTTTCTGTAACAAGAATAGGTGAAACAGTATCATAATAGGTAGATAATAATATATCTTTGGCATTCGGACTCGATGTAATAATCGAGGGTGCTGTTGTTATTGATTGTTGTAGTTGTGGTGATAGAGAAGACGGCGATGAGGAAACAGCACAGTATTGTGTGGAAGATATTAATGGAGGTGAATATGTATAATGATGATGAAATGGTGTGTACGTTTCATTAATATAATCATTCAAATGAGTTTTTGTTTCATTGTTATACGGACAATTATTATTATCGGCTATATCATTGACTGAATCATTTATTAAACTAGTCGACGAATTTGTAGATGAATTATACATAATATCATTGAAGTCTAACAATTGAGGAGATATACTGTCTGAAGACGTGGTGCGAAATGATGTTCTCGAATGATGATGTTGAGGAGAATACTGATGATCATGCGTCGACGTTAAACCATAATGTTGTGGTGGTGTTCTCATGGGATATATATTTGTTAGTGGTGTGGTTGTTGTAGCAACCAAATTGGTATTATTGCAACTGTGTGATGTACTAGTTATGGTGGTTGATGAGGGTGAAGGTGTTTTGAATGTTTTTTCTAAACGTTTTATCAAATTACAAATCATTAACGATACATGGAGTTTGGGTTTTTTAATGCCACGTAATTTACGGTAAGATTCTAATAATATTGTACCTAGAATGAATACAAGAAGAATTATGTTGATGAATTATCTAAGTGTCTGAAATACTTACGTTTTTGTTCATCATCATGCATCGTTGAATATGTACAACGACGTTTTAATATCGGTGTAGTTGTGGACGAAACTGTTTTTGATGTTGTCACTACTGTATCACTATGGCGTCTCGTTGTAATTGTAGAACATCTATTGAGTGAATTAAATTTTGATAATGATGCACTGTATGATTGATAACAACTACTACTATGGTATAGGTCAGAATTATCTTGATGATTATGTGTGTGTGAGTGTTGTTGATTATCTTCATCACTATCTTCTTCATTTTCATCCAAATCATCTTCACTCTCTTCGCTACTCACATCGTCTTCTTGATCATCCGATTCTAAACAACAAAAATCGTCTGTTTAATATCTTCGGTTTTCATCATTATCCTTTATTCCCTTTTGGACACAAGAGGAGAATACACTGACTTTCTCTTGTAAAAGCATTTTAAGATTGTTATGTTCATCGATTCTGTATACCTGATAATTTTCGTTTTACATAACATGCTTGTGTTTCGTTAACATCCATGTAATAGTGATTGCTTTCATTGTATGAATATAATTGAGTTTTACAGAAATGAGTATTGTCACACATAATTAATTGATTAAAAGCTAAATTAAAAAAAAAGTGACATAAAAATATAACTGATTTTAACTTTATTTTAAGAATAATGAACTCTGTGAAATAACTGTATGAAAATTTTGCACAATATTAGCTATTACCATATATCACTTACTAGAGTCATCAATTATCAATTCAAACAGGAATACTATTTTAATAGTTTTCATTATTATTGTTTTATGTTCAAGTTTTAAAATTGGAAAAGACTGTACAATTCAAGCTTAAAAACATTTTATTTTTTGTGGAATGAAGAAATAACGAAAGAATGAAAAAGAAAAGAAGAAATTTTTATGAATGATAAAGGATTTGTTTTTTTATTTAATAATATCTACGTGTGCATTTTTTCTGTTTTTTTTTTCATGGAGTAAAGATATTTTTTCTCATTTCTTTTTCGAGTTATAACTAGTGTGGGCTCTCTCTCCCAACATAACAGCTATTATAGTTTGACAATCAGCTGTTTTTATGATCTTTTTTTGTAAGTGTGTTTCATTATCATGAAACTCAATGAATGAATGAATGAATGAATGAATGAATGAATGAATAAATACGTATTATTATTATTATTATTATTATTAAATATCGTAATGATTAGTATATACACAAAATAACTTTTGATAAAGATGAGAAAACTCTACAGCAGTCATCTTTATTATCGGAAGTCTAAGGTTAAATACACTGGTTGTAGTGACAAAAGATCAAACGGAATGATCTTTTAAATTCAGTGATATATCAAATGGATGATGTTAACACAGTTAGTTACATTTCAATGTAACCTTATTTTTCTAATATTTAATTGATCTATTTAATAAAATGGAATTATTTCTTTCAATAATGTATTCAACATATAAAGGTAGTAATCTGGCAAATAGCCAGATTGGAGAGTATTTTCGAGTGTCAAAAACATTTTAGTTACCCTGTGTAATATGAATATACTAGTTGTTTTTTTGGCACATTATCAATTAGAAAAAAAAGACTAAAAGAAGAAAACAAAAAACTTATCATGATTATTACTAGTTTTCGTTTTTTTTCTTTATTAAAAATAATATTATAGATAAAAATAAGTATTATTTTTAAATAGAATTATAAAATAGATAAAAAAATGGAAACCACAACTTTAATTGATCAATAATTTAGATAACTACCATTTTAAACTGTTCATAAACAAAATTTTATATCTATGATGCTTAGACAATAACTTTTTACAAGAAAATGAGGTACAATAAATAAATAAGTTTTGTCTTTTATGCACTAAGCTGAGGGTTCTGGTTTTTGTCATACGATGACTGTTGTTCTATGAATAGGAGGAAAAAAAAAGTTTTTATATCTCTCGAATATGTATGTAATACGTATATATATTTCTTTTTTTTTCAATTCATGCAAGTAAACATAATTGATGTTACAGAACCAAAAGCAATAAAAACAAAAAAAAAATCAGGATTATAAGCGATCGGATGAAAACACGATTGGTCAATGAAAACAATACACACTACACGTAAAGGTAAAATGTATTTTAAACATCAATAATATAGCAGGCGATAAATTTTTTAAATACTGATAAAACTAAAAAGCCCATAATATTTAATATTCGTGCTTTTCACTACAGATTCTTCTTGTTATATTTTATGAGAGAATATTCTAATTCTAATATGCTTTAATGCAGATATCGATAATGGAAATTTTCAGACAAATATAGTCCTGTATTTGTTCAATCGTTCTGTTTTCTGACTAGTTTTGTACCAAAAAACGCGAGATTTCTCTCTAAAAGATAAGAAAATGTCCTATTTTTTAGCAGCTATTTGCTTGATAGCAAGAAAAATCACTGAATCTCAGTAATCTTGGAGAAAAAAATCTCCTTTTGGTATCATTTTGATGAGTTATCGTAAGATCATAATTGAAATTCGGCAAATAAAAAGGGGCATTAAATATAATATCTGTACTTAGATACATACGAAACAAAAGATTACATCCAATGTGACAACATTAGTACTTTAGAACAAACTGCGACTAGTTCACGACAAGATTTTATGGATATCATCATTCACACACGAATAATTAGACAAACGATCACTTATTCAACTTATAAAAATAACATTTTAGAATTTAGAGAAAAATAGATTTTGTAATACAAACTAAAGCACAGCAATTTTTGCTTTAGTTCATGTTCAAAAATGGTCAAAAGTTCACATGTTGCTGGTGGCATCACCTATCCATCAGAATATGTTATCTAACGAACGAGAGATCAAAATCAAAATATTTCGTCTTCTTCTTACACAAACGCAATCCAAAACTACCTTTCTTGCTCGATTTAAGACATAGAAATATTTTTCTTTTTCATAGCCATGAAAAAGTATGTGGATACCTGCTAATGATTTTAACTGTATAGATTTTATCACCACTGTCTATTTTGTGAAACAAGGTAAAACATCTTGAAGACTATGGTAAAAAGAGTAATTTAAAGCAAACCTAGGGTTTATAAAATAGATGTATCAATTCTGGTAGCAATAGTAGCAATATATTGGCAAAATATGCCATCGTTCAGAATTATTGTTAGCTAAAGTGAAGAGTTTTAAAACTCCAAAGATCAAAGAGCTTGTTCATTTTGTTGCTTTTAGAATCATCGCGGTATGAAGACTCTCGTTTGTCACACACATAAGAATTTAAACAAAAAATTGTTAAGTGTTAACGTCATTTATCAGCTTAATTTATTATTTTTTGTTGGCTATCAAGTAAGATGTTCCGTTTGTTTTATTCTGTTATAGTCGGAAGTATTATTGGTATTTTTATTAATTTGTTTGTCGATAATATAGAAAGAACTGAAAAGAGTAAAACGAAAACTATCATTGCACTTACCTTGAAATTAAATGATTGAATAGATAGTGTTTAATTGTTTCGAAACCAATAATTATATTGTTTTTATCCCATTAACATTTTTTCTATATAAATTAAAATTGACGGTTTGCTTCTTTAAATTTGTATTTAAAAAAAAAATCTTCTAATGGTTTATATTATCTAGAGAGAAATACAAAAAAAAAAATAAGATCTTGAAAGTGTTCCTTAATTAATATTCTAAAACCGAACAAAAAAAAATTTAGTTTTTTTTCTTCTTTCTCTCTTGACGGGCAGAAGGTTAATGAGCAAAAATCTATCCATATCCACATGACACATACAAACTGTCAAATAGATATCTCATAGCTTTCTTTTTTCGCTCAAATAAAATTTTCCTTATTATTATCAAAACAAAAAGAATGAACATAAGGAAAATCAAGACTTACACACAAGGAAGAGAAGAATGAAAATCCTAGTATCTATATACACTAAAAGTTTTTTCTTTCCTCTATTTTCTTTTTAAATAAAAAAAAAAAAAAGAAAATTTTTCTAGAGTGTATACTGCTTAACCATCAACACCAACACACATAAAAAAAAGTCTATTGATGAGAAAACTCTTTTTTACATGTTTCCTTTATAATATACAGACTTACATTTTTCTTTTTCCTTTTTTTTTTCTTCTTCTATGAAATGCACACATTATATATATAGTGCTGTACGTATGTGAAAGCGAAGAACAAGAAGCAAAATGCACTGTGTGTTTATGTGTATGCGTGTATTCATCTATATATATATCGGGATTTTTTGTTTCATTCTCCTCACATTCACATATATATACGTTTTGTACGTGTTGTTATTTTCAAATGGTTGTGTTAAAAACTTGGGCAAATTTTTTTACTTCGTTCGTCGACCGTCATCACCATCACTGCCTTCATGTTTCTTTTTCTTCTTCTTCTTCTTTTCTTCTTTATTTTATATATATATATATGTGTTTGCGTACACTACTCTCAATTTTAGGTTCTTTGCAACTCATATTTATTATTTTTATTATATTCATTCTTTTCTTTTCTTTTTCATTCCTCTTCTTCTATTTGCTCTAGATGTATATACGTACGTCAAATGCACATAGAAGAAGTTTGATTGTGGTGGTAGTGGTGGTGGTGGTCGTGGTATAGTTTGTTGTCAGATATATATGTATGGGGAAGATGAAGAAAAGAGCAAAAAAATACGATATGTTCTAGCTGATATAACTTAGGTTGATCCCTTCTTTTTATAAATAGAGAATACGCGACCGAATACAACACATACACATACACACAGATAGTATTAAGCATACAGATGTCGCAATAAACGAGCTCAAAATTTCTTTCTTTCTTTTAGTTGTTAAACACATTGCTCTATTCTCTTTTATATCGAATGTAGATGAACGGAGAAATATCAACATTGACCAATTGCAAACAAAATTCTCTCTTCTATTTTATGAATAGTACTGTCTAGAGCAGAATTCCATTTTTTTTTGCTTTATAACTGCTCCATATACAAGGTCAGGCCAATCTACATGGAGTTTCGATCTTTATCAGCAAACTGTTGATCATTCAAGTCGTTTTGCTAAATAGGATAATCGAACTTTTTTAAAGGTGAACAGGTCAGAAATTGCAAAAGCAGTACTAAACAAAATGCAGAATTATTTATATTTGCTTGCCTATAGAAATAACGACTGCTGAAGACCTTTGTATAAAAGTTACTGACAAGAAACAGTGCAACCGATTAAAGCCATGATAATTGATCGTTATACCTAACTCAATTAGTTTTAAGTACTACCTATTATTATTACCATACAGACTTTCTTGGACATAAATTAATATTAATTATTTATACAACTTCATTGTAATACTTTTCAAAAGTATGATCAATCTCAATTGAAGAATTTCGAAGAGTAGATTAAAAAAGGACGCAGGCATCGACTCAAAAAGTTTTTGAACTGACATTTCACATCTAAAACATGTTGATTGTGTTTCAATAAACATTTTAATTAGTAGTTTTCGTTCTTTGCATGTTATTCACGATTAAAAATTCAAATGACTAAATCTTTTCTTTTTGTACATTTTTCAGTTGTGACTTGTAAGATCCTGTATAATCCATTAATCGTACACTCTTACATTTATTTACTTTTTATTTATCAAAAACAATAGTGATGCACATAACTCCGTTTTGACCATCAAACGCCACCATTTCCATGTATGTTACCTTTTGTGCTTGAAATAGATACATATAAAGTCCGGCAAGTATAATTTATAAAAATTTTGAAATGTATTAGATACAATATTTGAATGTAATTAACATTAGAAAGAACATTTCTCTTTTAAATAGTATACCATTTAGAGATTATCAGTCAGTCAGTAGTGAGTCATAGCGACGTTTATTTCAAGAAACTCTTTTTCTGTCATGAAACCTATGATATTCGGTTTATAAACTATATAGTCACACATATATCGATTTTGAAAAGTATAACTGATGCATCTAAGATACATTGAATATCTTTCATCTTCGGACATCTCAATGTGAAAAAAAACAAGGTGTGAATTGGTTTAAAATTAGTTTTTGATTAAAGCGACTGGAGAAACTCATTTTTTTACGAAAAAATTCTCACTTTCTAAGAGTATTGACAGATTTGGTTTTTCAAAAAAGAAGAGAATTTCCAAAAAAAAGCCTAGAATTTCTTACGCAAAAGGGTATACAAATTAACCGAATTGATTGATCTACAATATCGCAAGATATATATCATTAATTAGTTTTAAAGAGTCGAAAATCTCGAATCTCTTCGGATCGGGAACAAAACTCGAATAAAGTATAATGAATGTCGTATACATAAATAAAGACTGTTGATAATCGGATCAGGTATAGCTCACTCATTCAATGCCTGTGTAAGTTTCAAAAGATTTGAACTTCCAGTGCGAATAAATATTAGAATCTATTCTTATCAACAAATTTCAGGTAATCAACTTTATGGTAGAAGATTGTGCTTGTCTCTTAATTGAATCGACGTATATGCATTTTAAACTTTCAGAGTTATTTCATTGCTTATTACTGTTCGACAAACCTTCTATTGTTGTGAATTGATATAAAACTTGATATAAATCTTCGTGAAAAGAAGAATATATATTATTATTATTAATTTGTTTTGAGGTTGTAGTTTTCCGTTAAATAGATTCAGTAGTTTTTGGCTCAACCTAACATTAAATTGTACAGGCTCTCTTCAAATGTATATCCATACTTCGAAAATTATTATTGCTAGATGACCAATGACACTATTCTAACCGAACACATTCGTAAAGAAAAGAACAGTATAAAACGATAAGAACTATAGGCAGATATATATAAACATTTCCCTCTTGCAGTTCACCTTTCTGTTCTTCTATTGCTTGCTTTATTTTTTATTTTATTCTGTTCATCAATGCATCATCCATCCCTTCATCTCATTCATACACTTCTATTTCTTGTATATATGTCGTCCTATGACATACAACCCATATATACATTGTTTTATCGTCGAAGAATTTTATTATTGGAAAAAAACGTAATCATTTATTTTTCCACATCTATATGGAGTTCCATATACAGTTTTTTTCATTCTGGTGTATTACGTCTCACAAAATCAGCGTTATGGTAGAATGCAGAAAGAGAAGAAAATTTGTAAAAAGAGAATAAATAAAATGTGTTCAGCATTTTTTGACAAGACGAGGAAAGATGGTAGAATTCTGAGAAAGAAAAAAATGTATACACTTACGTCGAGTAGACGACTATGAAGATAAAAATACTCTCTTTCAGCCACAAAATAAACTATTTTAGTAGATCATATGCTGATTTTCACATAGATAGTAGTTTCTTGTGCAACCTATCGACTAAATTCTGAAAAAGTAAATTTCGATATGTATCGAATTTACATTTGAGTTGGATGGTTCAATTCAAGCAGAATTCAGCACTGCTTATGCTTGAGACAGTAGACAATATGATATAAGGATAATCTCTGATGCAATACGATATTGTTATCAGATACTTCCTCTAAGTACAAGACTATTTTCCATTCTCTTGATTGGTACTAAATCTAAAGTCTATATCTAATGTTGAAAAGCACTCGATATGTAAAATGTGTTTTTCAAACGTGCTGATAGAGCTTTCTTAGTGCAAAAAAAACAACAACAACCATTTGAAACGTTTAACTATCTGTTTTTCTACCTTGGCTAACCGGAAAGTGGACGTTATAATAATATATAAGTTTATAATTCAGTTTATATTCCCTACATTTCAGTATAGACTTATCATTCAACTATCCTAATGAATTAAGATAAATGAGATGATAATTCCATACATTTTGGACTTTTAAATAGACGTGGACTCATTTGATAATTAATAAATTTTGGTTTCTCCATTTGAAAAACAAAAATAAAACAATATTATTTACAAGTACACAACGGACATACTACAAAAAACAAACAAACAACCAAACAAAAAAGCTTGTAAATAGAGAACACAAGAGAGTAAAATGTAAAAGAAAGACGCCAATCATTAAAAACAAATATATATTCGTTGACATAAAAAACAGTCAATTTTGTCTGAGGTGTTGCAAATAGTATGGACATTAATCACGACAAGAAAAACACATTTTTAGTTGTTATTTGTTCCACTTTTCTTCATATGAGTTAAAATGTGCACAAAAACGACTTAAAAAGTTCGATTCTTATAAAAACAAACACTTGGAAAAGTAGACGATACTGGCAGATTCTGAATAATAGCAATCATGCATCTTTATCTCGAAATAAGGTCCTGATGCACTTTTTAGAATTAATTTTCTACGTCTCACTTGTGCAACATAGCAAAGACAAGGAGTTAGTAGTTAGTAAACTTTAATAATGTGTGTAGCATAGATAAAATAAAAATACTGAGATAAAAAAAAGAAAATGTTAATCACCAACATGCAAGAAAATGTCTGACAACACATGTGTTAATAATGAAAACAAGTTGCACAAAAGCAAAAACAAACCAAAAGTTCGTTGTATGAACATACTGACATTTTTATGATCATACATACGCGAAAGAAGAAAGAACAAAAACTTAATAAATTAAAATATGAAATCGATTTTTCAAACAATTACCCATATAAAAAAAAAGGAACGAAATTCGAAATAATATACCGCGTTTCATCCGATGAAAGTCAACCCGAAGGAAGGTGATTATACGTGCAACGAAAGACGAGATACATAACATACATGATAATTAAAATGTACGGTATCCAAATTTGACACATTCGCAATGTATGGGTATTTTTTTTATTTAAAAAAGTAAAAATTGGATGTTGATGTGTGCATGTGTGGAAGACATTCTCAAACAAGCACAGATCAAATCACAATAGTAAAATGAAGGAAGAAAATAACGACAGATATGTAAAGAAAAAACATGAATTTTCACTTTTCTCTTTGGAACAATATACCGGGAGAAAAAATGGAGAATAGAAAAGTTAGATAACAAAAAAACGAAAATTACTTCTATTTGGCACATGTTTAGAGATATTTAAGTGTAATGGAAAAATGACACAACCCACAGGTGGGATAGAAGTTAATTTATTTTGTTCTTAATACGAAATTAATAGACCATAGGAACGAATTGTAGTGTAGATTGTCTTATTGTTGATCAACTGGTTTTCTTATTCTTTTTATGTTTCATATTGGTGGTATTATTACTCTCAGGGATCGAACTAAAATGAAAGAACATATCAATCATTACATCACATCTATTAGATGAATAAGAAATCGAAATATTTCGGAAAATGTTCGAAGTGATAGTGCCGAAACGAAAATGCTTTATATGACCTTACAGTATACTCCTCCAGTGAAAGTTCACGAAATAAACTATTAGATTACACAACAGGTCTCACTCACACTTTGAACAAAGAAAATGAAATTAATAAATAGCTTATAACAATAAAATTAATGATTAAAATGATGTACCATTTTGTAATGGAATAGATTATATATCTTATTAGTTAAAGCAACTACAAGCTTGTTTCTAGAGCGAGCGAAAGTCGAACGGCTAGCATTATAAAAGTTTAGATGTTTCTCTGCACAAGTCAATACTTACGCTTTAACTGTTTTTTCTTCTTCATCATCTTCATCATCTTCATCATCTTCATCTTCGCGTGTATCATGTAAACCATTCAGTGCTCCTGAACATACTCTATAAAGGAATTGACAAATAAACTAAAATGGAAAAAAAATAATCGGTTAATCGTAGAAGTAAGGCTAAGCAATAAACATACAAAAAGCCAATAAATATTTAATCCAAGTAATATCCATAACAAAGAATTAAAAAATCCATATAAACCACAGCCTTTATCATAGGCACGATATGCGGTAACAACACCAGTTGAATACAGTACTTTTAATGGAAACCAATATAAACGGAATAAGAGCCTTAACACAAATAAAAGGATAGAAATTCCTGAAAAAAATATTCCTCTTTTCCTAGTACATACCAACAAGCTGTAAATGTGATAAAAGTACATGTTGCTGCCGTTTCGTATTTTGGACAATCTTTATCGTTTTGACGACTCAAATAATGTAACGCTTTTGTTAATTCTAACCATATGTCGGTTATATCATGAACAAACAGCACCAATAATCCAACTTTATGATAACTAAAACATAATGAAGTAATGTGGTTCATCGTTTCAGAACATCACTTCGTTTTACCGAGTAGCATAAGACACAAATATCAACGTCATTGTGACAACATGATGCAGCAGCATAACATAAAAATCTCGGCGTTTGTAATCCATGTATAACGTAGCATAAATAGAATGTAAATAAAAACCACACTGCAAAAAATACATTATTTTAATATCCACCGGTACAGTCATTCCTGGACTCCAATCTACAAATGGAAGAAATATAAACAAAATGTGTGTTGAAATACACATTTATCTTTTAAACATTGTAACAGGCACTAAATAATCAAAACGATAGTTCGACTATCATTTAGGCTCACTATCTGTATTTTTACCTTCTTTCTCGACAAAGATGCAGATATCTCTGCAGAATTGCTTATCTTGATATAATAAAATAACAATTTCTACATTCTTTCAAAACTCCGAGATAGTAGCTTTAGAGAAAAGGAGATTATTGTTTTAACTGATCGACTAGCTGGATGAAAACAGAAAACAGTTAATTTCACGGGGGAAAAAGCACTTTTTTATCATAGCACCCATAGCCTCTTCCGGCACCTTTCAGCTCTCGACAGCATTTCTCAGCTCCCAAATCTTCCTTTTTACTCCGATAGTTACCTTCGTCGCTTTCTAAAATTCAAGATTCAATTTCTTGCGCAAGAAAGCAAATTAGAATCAGATGAGGTGTACATGTTAATGTGGCTTAAACAAAGCAGTAAATAGGTGCGTTTAATTTATCAAAGAAGATTTTTACTTAAAATATATTTTATTTCAGAAGGATTATTTCTAAAAATGACCATACCCATTATACAGAAAGCAAGGAGAAATGAAAAACGTCAATGCTGTGGCACGGATTTGATCCGTTGACTATCCCCCATCTTGAAGTTTAGAAAGCGACGAAGATGTAGCTATTGGACTAAAGCAACCATGAGTTAATTTCACGGCGCCCAAGCACCTGCCAGCATCTTTTAGCTCTACACAAACAACACTTTTCAGCTACTGACAGCATCTTTCTAGCACTAGGTGCTGCTCCCCCCTTAAAATCAATTGTTTTTTTTGTGAAAGTGCCCCGAATGAACGTACGTGATAATAGAGAAAAATTGGCAAGTATCTTCAGAATTATACTCAATTGCCATGTACTTTGACGAGTAGTTCTCTAAAAGTGCAACCCTTGATTTTATTTCTGTGCAGTATTTCGTGAAAGTATATTTGTCATTACTTGATAATTACTTGCAAGTGAGGTAAGTACTTACAAGTAAATTTATATCTGAAAAAAACAAGTACTGACTTCATTATGTAAACGAAGTACTTGTCTCAAATACATTCAGTAGAGTTTAGCAAACTTTTCTCTATTAGAGTGATGTTGTACATACCATCCCATATTAAATATGGCTCGTGAAAATAATTATATCGATAATGTAATAAATAAACACAATAAGACCATGTCACTGTATATAATAAGCATTTCCACGCTGATTCAGGACATTTACGTTTGTTTAATTTTGTAAGTGCTAACCAATTGAGTAACGGCTAAAATGACAATCAGAGATATAAAATGCTTTGATTGCGAACAAACAAGTTTTACTTTGCATATGTAATATTCAAATGCATATCGTAGCATTGTTATGAAAACAGCAATATAGATAATGTATGTTATTTCATGCAATGGAAAATAGAAATGTTCAGTAAATTCATCTATGAATGATTGTGGAAATATATAATTCGACCACATATGTGGTGCATAATACCATGATATCGTATTCCATAATCCAGTGACTAAATCTTTATACGTGGGATTCAATGAAAAATTTCCTCTTAAATCTTTCAATGCATCTAATCTCTCTGATAATACAGTCATTCGTATCTATCTATTAAAGGATAAAACAGACAATTAAAAGTTAAATAATTTGAGGCTTGTTATACTATTATACCTTTCGTTGCTATGTTAGACTAATAAAGATATATTTAATTAAATAATTTAGTTGGAATTATTTATCGTACAGCTTTACCCAGGTTAAATCATGCTTTCATAAATTGAGCAAGGACTTTCTATATTTTTGTTAATTGCTTTCTGCACCAGCTGTCAGCACGTAAATCGCAGAGCAGAACGTTATTTTTAAACAATGTAATGGTGTATTAACAACGAACAGACGAAAACAAATTAGATCCTTATAACATACTAGTGAAAATAACAATATACTTATTACAGTTAGAGATTTAATAAATAAATTAAGTAAATGCTTAGCTCACTCGAGATAAAAAATTAAAAAAAACAAATATCTTAGATGAAATTTTTCGCGTACTGGTGTATTTCATCAACTAATAGAAACGCGTTTCTGAAAATTAACGTATTATTCTAAGGGAGAATCAGTCATTTTCAAATCATATATGCTTAAAAACAATACTGATACTGGGATGATATACCGATAATAACTGTACAGAATTAGTAACTGTAGAGGTCACTGCTTTTCAACGGAAGTAAACGGAGCCTTCTTCATATACTAAAGGATTTTCATGTCGAATAAATCAAAAGCAAAATTTTGTTCATTAATTATTGAAAAAAGTGAAAACTTATAATTTGTATTAAGCAATACTCATACACTTCGAGTATAGTAACTATATGCGAAGAGTTATAAGAATGTAAACAAAGAAATGCCTTCGTTCAATTATTAAAAACGTAATAATAACTGTAAATGCTCCTTTAAATTTAATTAAACCTTTTACAAGTCCATTCTGACTGGTTGGAATATTTAGTTGATAAAAAAGATTTTCCTCGAATAATATTAGTTTTTTCCGAGAAAAACGGCTTGAGAAAACCGTGATAATAATTGGAATTTTTCAAAACCAGAATACATGTTCAAATAGAGCCTGACTCCGAAAGCTGCTGCGTACAAGATTTACTTCATATGATCTTAAAACGGTCAACATTGACTAGGCGGTTTTACACCGTGGAAAAAATGACCACTTGTAGGCTAGTTCAGATGATCAAAAAATGGCCAAAAAACGGCTTTAATGGTAGAAAACAGTCATTTAACGGCCGTTTAACTCCCTTTCGAAGAGTCATTAATGAGACATTAACTTCACCGTTTTCTTCATCCTGGAAATCGATCATGTGAAATCTGAATCTTCAATTGGCCTTATCGTATTCTTATAAAAGTGTTATCATATTCTTATAAGATTCTTGCAAGTTTCTTACGAGAAACTTTATCGACTCCGCTGCAAAAAGTATTTTAGTGTAGCACTGGAAAAAGGTGTGCACTATTTTCGACCTGTCCTGTCTAAAGAATGATTCATAAAAAAAATTCTTCCTGCCCATGGTAAGTTGGCCTGCAGGACGAATACCAGATGTTTACCTTTTTCTCGACAAAGTCCAAAAAATACTCACCTTTCTTTACTTCAAATCACAATGACTTAATTTTATTCTTTTCATTACTAAAGGAACAAACACTGTTTTCTCATAACAACAACAAAACAAAGCTGAAGAGAGAAACAAGCAGGAGCCTGTTTCTCAAAAAACTTAAGTTTTGTTTAAATGAAAAAGTATTTATAATTTGTAACTTCTGTATTTTACGTTTTTTCCTAGTCAGACCCACAATAATTAGACAGAAACAAATCATTTTAGGAGGATTTTGTTCCAAAAAATTTCATTAAAATAATTTAGATATGTTACAATATGAGTGGTTGTTGCTGCATCTTCTCTGTTTAACTTAAGTTTTTTCGAGAAACGTGCTGAAGGGGAAACTTAAGTATCCTTAAGTAATAATTAATTTTCCCCTTAAAAGCCGCTTAAATGGAATACTTAAGTCTTTTTAAGAAATAGGCTCCAGGAAAATACAAACAGAAAGCTGATTTTCAGTTCCTCAACAAAGAAAAGAAACTATGTACAAAAGCCATTGCTGGTATCTTTATTTATGCTAAAGCGTTAGAAATAAAAAAGACAGCACGGCCTGGCCAAGCGTAACGGACGGAAAATTTTACGCATTCAGACACAAATCATTATCGCAAAATCGACACTGCGATCTACACTGTACAAAACTTCTATTCAGTGTACCCCGACGAGATCTTTGCGCCGTACAACGTAACTCGTCACGCTGATACCGAATATGTAAAAATCTCGCGGTATGCTTCT